CAGAAAGGGCATTCGACAAAGTCCAACACCCATTCCTGATACAAACTCTCAATAAAATAGGTATAGAAGGGAAATTTCTCAACATTATAAACAGCATCTATGCAAAACCAATGGCCAACATCATTCTTAATGGAGAGAGACTGAAAACATTCCCCTTGAGAACAGCAACAGGACAAGGATGCTCTTCATCACCACTCCTATTTAACATTGTGCTGGAAGTTCTAGCTAAAGCAGTAAGGCAAGAAAAAGAAATAAAGGGCATCCAAATTGGTAATGAAGGAGTTAAACTGTCCCTGTTTGTAGATGATATGATACTATACATAGAAAACCCTAAAGAGTCCATGAGAAAACTACTGGAACTAATAGAAAGATTCAGCAGAGTTCCAGGATACAAGATAAACATACAAAAATCCACTGGATTCCTATACACCAATAAAGAGAACGATGGAAAGGAAATCAGGAAAACAATACCATCTATAATAGCCCCTAAAAAAATAAAATACTCAGGAATAAATCTAATCATGGGTGTAAAAGACCTATACAAAGAAAACTACAAAACACTGCTGCAAGAAACCCAAAGGGACCTACATAAATGGAAAAACATACAATGCTCATGGATAGGTAGACTCAAGATAGTGAAAATGACGATTCTACCCAAAGCAATTTACAAGTACAGTGCAATCCTGATCCAAATATCAACAACATTCTTCAAAGAGATGGAAAAACTAATCATTAACTTTATATGGGAATGGAAGAAGCCCTGAATAAGTAAAGCATTATTGAAGGAGAAGAATAAAGTAGGAGGACTCACACTACCTGACCTCAGAACCTACTATACAGCTACGGTAGTCAAAACAGCCTGGTACTGGTACAACAGATACATTGACTAATGGAACAGAATTGAGAACTCAGATGTAAATCCATCTACCTGCGGTTACCTGATCTTCGACAAGGGCCCAAACACCATCAAGTGGGGAACAAACAATCTTTTTAACAAATGATGCTGGCAAAACTGGATGTCCATCTGCAAACAAATGAAACAGGACCCATACCTCACACCATATACAAAAACTAATTCAAAATGGATCAAAGACCTAAATACTAAGCCAAAAACTATAAAGTTCATAGAAGAAAAAATACGATGAACACTAGACGCTCTAATGCACGGCATTAACAGGATACAAACCATAACCAACAACACACAAACTCCAGAAGATAAGCTAGATAACTGGGATCTTCTAAATATCAAACACTTATGCTCTTCAAAAGACTTCACCAAAAGAGTAAAAACCCTACAGGCTGGGGAAAAGAATTTGGGCATTACAAATCAGACAAAGGTCTAATCTCTGTAATCTACAAGAAAATCCAGCACCTCTACAACAAAAAGACAATCCAGTTAAAAAATGGGCAAAGAAAATGAACAGACACTTCAGCAAAGAAGACATTCAAGCAGCCAACAGACACATGAGGAAATGCTCGTGATCACTAGCTATTAGAAAAATGTAAATTAAAACCACAGTTAGATACCGTCTTACCTCGGCATTACTGGCACGAATCAAACACACTGGAAATAACAAATGTTGGAGAGGCTGCTGGGAGATCGGAACTCTTGTGCACTGCTGGTGGGAATGCAAAATGATACAACCATTTTGGAAAATGATATGGCGATTCCTTAGAAAGCCAGAAATAGAAATATCATACAATGCAGCAATCCCACTTCTAGGAATATATCCTAGAGAAATAAGAGCTGTCACACAAATAGACATATGCACACCACATTCATTGCAGCATTGTTCACAATAGCAGAAAGATGGAAACAACCTAGATGCCCATCAGCAGATGAATGGATAAACAAACTGTGGTACATAAACACAATGGAGTACTATGCAACGATAAAGAACAATGATGAATCTGTGAAGCATCTCATAACATGGATGAAATTGGAGGACATTATGCTGAGTGAAATAAGTCAATCACAAAAGGACAAATATTGTATGAGACCTCTGTTGTAAAAACCCATGAAAAAGTTTACACACAAAAAGTAACAATCTTTGTTGGTTACCAGGGGTGGGAGGGATGGGGGTGGGGAATACTAAATAGGCAATAGATTAAGTGGTATCTTTGGTGAAGGGTGAGACAGTACACAATACTGGGGAAGCCAGCACAGCTTGTACAAGGAAAGGTCATGGAAGACCCATAGACACATCCATACTCCCTGAGGGACCGAATTGCTTGGTGGAGGGCTGTGGGGACCATGGTCTCAGGGAACATCTAGCTCAGTTGGCATAACACAGGTTATGAAGACAATGTTCTACATTCTACCTTGGTGAGTAGTGTCTGCAAAGCCTCTGAGCAGCCATCTAACATACTGCATTGGTGTCACC